CACCTCTGGCTACATTTAGCTTAGGCGAAGGGCTGGTGTAATTGAGGGTGGCAGTCGCTGCGAGACTGAAGAGAAGATTGAGTAGAGATTGCGTCATCCTCTTCTTTCACGGAGGTCGATGCCCCCCTGTTAGCACGCAACACGAGGGCGCCTGCAATCTGCACATACGAAACACCACCCAGCCAACTTCCTCCCTCCGCATCGGATCAGTAGATTTTAGTGCAAATCCATGCACCTGAAGTGGCGTGATCTGCTCGCATCTGTCACTTGGTTTGTGAATAATGAGGACAGGAGCCCTAATGCAATGAGTGCAACATTCGTACCTAAATTTATAACCCCTGTATAGTCTTAAGTTGCCTATACGTCAGAACCGAGAGCCCCTTCAGTTTACAGAATATATTTCCTAACGTCCCACGCATTCATGTTGATCGAATTGTTAGACCTCGGTGCCATGGTGCGATTTGAACCCACGACACCAATGGTTTAACTATGTCAAATAATCCATATCTGTTTATTTTTTTCGCAATGCGAGCCTATTGCAGCTTGGCCGACTATTGTCAATATTGCCATATGAAACTCAAGTACACTCACGAGTCATTTTGACACGCATATGAAGTACTCGGCGTCTCGATGGGGTCTGAACACATGACACCATGGGGAAGCCTTAGTACAGCTAACGCTCTAGCCAACTGACCTAAGAGGCTCCACCGGACGACGCTACACTAATCATATCTGTCATAACACCTATAAATTACGTGAGACCGGTGGCCGTCTGGTGGACTTTAGATGTATTAATTAGGAAATTATGCCTGGATAGACAGCTTACGGTATCAGATTTGGTGGATTTCAGACGTTGCAGTAGATCGAACGGGAAAACTTGATTTAGATGTGGTTCAGCTCGCGTCGTACGGTGGGGACTCGTATCTAAGGTGGCTAGAACGTTGGCTGTACCAAAGCCTCTCTTGACTGTCGTGGGTTCGAATCCCACCAGTTAGGCTTGGGAGCAACGGAGACTGAACCCACTTATTTTTCAGAAGTGAAGCATTCTTAACAGAGTAATTTTGGTGTGAGTATATTCACTCGATCGCTGGAGCGACAATAATGTTCACTTGATTTTCCGGATTCTTTTTTGCTGAAGGAGAGAAACAGACTGATGTCGTGGACGTACAGAGGGTGAAATTTTTATAAGCTGCAATTCCTATGCTATCATGCGCATGTTCATAATGATGAAGCCCGCATTCATTGCAGCTTTTCTTGATTCGTTTGACGATTTCCCGAGTAAATATGTTTAAATTGTGACTGCTTATGATCTAGCTGTTTTTTGATTACTTACATCATCATTTTTTCTCAAAAATGACTTTGGCAATATTATGACTTTGGAAACGGGAATTTTCGTTAGAAATGCGGTTTGCCTTGCAGGCTGAAGTCGACGCAGTATTGAAATTTGCTGAGTGCCCCTTTCCAATTAATGCCAAACAGACCCCGATTTGTTCAGATTGGCAAAGTTGAGAGATCCGGATTGATTATTTGAAGAATAAGAAGAAAATGGGTTCACCGGAGCAGGTTTATTAAGATGCTGCCTTTCCGAAGAGCTTAATCGGCTCTCCATTGTCAAAGTATAAAATGCACTTTATCGACCAGAAATCCCAAGTGGCGTCTCACGTTGGAGGCCGACCAACGTGACACCTCCACTTAATTTTCAGAATTGGCGTTTCCTTAACAGTGTTATTTTACTGTGAGGAAAATCACTCGATTACTAAGGCGAAGGTAATGCTCACTTGAGTTTTCAAGTTCATTTTCGAACAAGGAAAACAGCAGATTGAAGTTGGGGGTCGAACAGAGGGGGAAATATGCATAGTCTGAAATTCCTCTAAGATCACACTGCAAATACTCCCACTTCGTTTCATGATCTGTCGAGTAAATATGTCCAAATTTTGACTGACGGCGATCTACCTGTGTTTTAAGTAATAAAACAGCCTTTTGTTTTTACACCGACTCAGGCATTTCTGACATCGGTAACTGATATTTTTAATGGAAATGTGAATATCTAGCAAGGAAAACGTCTACGTATGTCTGAAAGTCGGACCCAATTTTGAAATTCCCTGAACGCACGTCTCCAATTAACACCAGACAAACCCCGACCTAGTCCGCATGTTTTTCAGCGCATCTGCCGCTTGAGCGGTTTTAGGGACACTGCCATTGTTCAGGTACGTACACGCTCAACGACCGCGCACGCCACTGACTACCTGCTGCCAAGGTCATCTAGGGGCGCCTCTACTCGCATTCAGCCTTCGGCCATCTGGCGAAATCGGCCAGCTGCGTCACCCATCGAGCACGATCGATTTACTTTCGTCAGGCGCGCAGGCCACCTCACGGTCCAGGGCCCACAAACTCGAGGCGCGCCGCTGATAACTGACTGTCCACCTGGTACGCATCATGCAGCAGGGTATTCTCACGTAGATAGTGCCGATTCAGTTAATCGTATCTCTGGTTGCAGCCAAATCACTAACCAGGGTTATGTTAGAACATGCGTTTTCTCAAATACCCTTGACATCATTCATGTGAACTTGTCGTGCTCGGTGAAATCTTTGTTAAGCATATGTGCCGAGACAGCCTAACCGCTAAATCTTTCTCAGAGGAAGTAACGGATCAGTTGCTGCTACGGAGACAGACAGCGTACCTGCCACCAACATCTTCCGTCGACCGAAAACTAAGGTGACTTTTCATGAAATATCAGGTCATAATCACATATGCCGAATTCCTTCAATAGCGAGAGCCGAAAGCAACTCACACAATAGTATATCGCATTTCATGGGGGTGGGCTATATTTGCTTAAAGGAGTGGGACACTATTCAGACATGGTGACATCTGTCCTAATTCATAGTGCCAGGTCCGCCATCCACGCGCTAACTGTTCCTGTAGCCTTTCGCCTCCGTATGTTGTACGCTTGCCATTTATATTAACACAAGGTATACGATTTGCGATCTTACTAGTGTTGCTCACTACGTCAGCAAATGGGCACCTCCTTCCCAAACATTCCTCGAACACATCCCTCAGTCCTCGCAGAGATATGCTAGAGATTATTTTTCACCCCATGTGTTGAACAATTTACACCGTTTCGGAGTTTTTTTTAAAATAAAAATGGGATGTCATGTTTTTTGTCCTGGGGACACCTGGCGGTGAGAACATCTCCAGAACTACGTCTATTTATTCTCAAGTATCACATCCGCTGGCGACAATGATTTCTCCCCTAAGCCATGCATTAGTTCGACAAAATGAGCATCTCCCTCGTAAAAAATAACTGATTCATTCATTTCATTCCTTTCAGAGATAAAAACGTTATTAATCGGTCGCCTTAGTTGTAGGGCACTCCACACCATTCAACGTTTTCAAAAAACGTCAAAACAGGTTACATTGCAATTAGTTTATATCTTAACATGCGGATCAAAGAAGGAACATCAAGAAACGCAGAAGTTTACATGCAAATGCTTGCAGCTCCAGCTATCTGTCGAGCGACTCCAGTGGTTTCTTCGACAACGAGGTCCGAGATGTTAAGTCGTTGCTGATATCAGCTGATCCGCCTGGTGCTGTGAAAGTCTCCGCCCTGTATCCTGATCCATTCCAACAGCCTGCAATGTTAAAGCAATTCCAATGACATTCTATTTTCATAAATATCAAAATATCATCTAGGGACGCCACTGTCCGCGTACGGCCACATGCGGAATCTACGTCCACGGACTGCGATCGAATCTGCGTTCGTCGCGCATCAATCACAAACCAGGCGTCAGCCACAAGAAGCCTCGCAGAAGAATAGGTGCACCGATTAGCATTAGAACTACAGATTAAAAGCGGAGGGGATCTCGATCTACACTGCAGTCGCACAAGGAATTTTGCGTCATCCCTTGACGCCTCCTGACACACAAACACATGCCAGTTCGACCATCGGTGTCGATGATGTCCACCGTGCGCCTCACTGTTGCAGCAGCAATGGGAGCAGGGACGGTGACTTGCGAAGCGGTTTATAGTGCCAGTATTCTTGCGCTGCATCTACCTACACTCCCTCCTCCTCCTTCGCCTGAGTCCGCTGTCAAGACAGAGTCAAGAAGACCGGAGACGAGGGAGGCCGCAGATGGATGGCTCGGACGGATCCTCACCTTGATTTTCCACCACACTGCCTGCTCCACACAACACATATCAAGTATTTTGACCAACACATCAGAGGTTGGATGCTGGCGCGGCCGAGTCCGCACCTGGGCGTGCCACCAACGCATGGCTCGGATCCCACACAGTGGTAGGAGTGCCATAAAGGCCACATTAAAAAGGAGCCATTGCAGCCCGAACCTCAGACCACCTCAAGTCGAGGTGGAGGTCCAAGATATCCCGTCAGTTGGCAACCATCCAAGCCACGGTTTTTAGCGCACCGTGATAGCTTCAAGCGCGTCAGATTGTTTATAGTGAGGAGGAAGTGCGCTGACTCGTGGACCTCATTCTGCATTCCCATCCCCACACATCAGCCGCTGTCCGAGCCGGTCAGCAGACTGGAGTGGGGAGGTGGCGCGGTGGCTGACACGGTCGACTGACCATGCCTGCGCGCGCAACAGCACGACCTGGCCCCCCATACACGAACACCAGGATTTCACACAACGGGGGTTGGACGGCGGGTCTCTCACTTGCGTGAGAGTGCCTCGGAGGTGCTGTTGCAGCCCGTCCCCAGCCCACCAGTCCGCCACTACACAACACACACACAACGTGACGAACTGCGTGAACCGAGAGCGGGCCTCAATCAGCAACCTTCCTATCCACGACGCTTGACGTGTCGGGATAGTCTCGGACACAAGTCACCCGTGCAGCCGAAGCCGCATGGGGACCGAGTCGAGAGCACACTTCCCACTTGCGTGGGAGGTGGCAGTTGGTGCATGCGGTGGGTGAGTGTTGATGTGTGGTGGTGATAGTGGAGGTGGGGAGGGAGTGTGGGGATGTGTGGTGTGGCCGGCGGTTGTCTACCGCAGGTCGTCGTGAATGCGCATGTGGCCGAATAGGCCCATGCGATGCCTGAAAGTGCGAGGACAATGTGGGTAGTTGAGACGTGCTTGGTGGGTATAGGTGGATGCTCCAGGCACTGGTTCGCCAGTCTCTGTGCGATGGATTCGCAAGGGACCTACCAGGCCGATGCGTGAGTTGAATGTGCGTGGACAGTGTGGGCATGAGATGTCGGCGGTGTCAGTGTCAGCTTCAAAGGAGGCGGTGGTGTTGGTGGCGCGGACGGATGGAAGAAGAGAGGGGCTGTGCACGGTGGATGTTTTGGATGTGGTGGGTGTGTCGGGAGTGATGTCAAGTCCGCCCTCGTGGATGCGCATGTGGCCGAATAGACCCATGCGATGCCGGAAGGTGCGAGGGCAGTGTGGGTGGTGGAGGCGTGTGCGGTGGGTGAAGGTTTGTGCTTCGCGCACTGGTTCGCCTGTCTCTGTGCGATGAATTCGCAAGTGACCGACCAGGCCGATGTGTGAGGTGAAGGTGCGATCGCAGTGAGGGCAGGTGTAGTCCTGATCCTCATCCCTCGTGTCGGGGGAGGTTGTGGTAGTGTCGGTTGCTGTACGCGGGACAGTCGCCTGAGCGTGCTGAGTTGGAGTCCGTGAAGATTCCAAACTGTGCTTTGGAGGCTACCGAAGGCTTGTCTGGTTTCCGAGATCCTGTTGGCGACTTCGTCGTCGATCTTGCTGTTGCGGGAGAGGGCACTGCCCAGGAACGGGAAGTTCTCTACCACTTGCAAATGAGTCCCATTCACGCTGATTTGCGGCGACTCATTGGGGGCTGTGGCTGAGTGGCGTGGCGGTTGATGCATCACCACCGTCTTCTGTGTGTTGATGACCAGACCGAAGTTCTCGCAGGCGGCGGAGAACAGATCCATGCTTCGTTGCATCTCCTCTTCCGAGGTGGTGTTCAGGGCGCAGTCGTCGGCGAAGAGGAATTCTTGAACGGTGGTGGATATCCACGCGCGCGATCGGAAGTGCATCCGCCGTTGATTCAGCAGGTGACCGTCGTCCAGTAGGCGGGTCGGATCCCCGGGCGTTCGTCGCGGTAGTCGTCCATCAGCATGGCAGCGAACATAAGACTGAAGAGGGTAGGCGCCAGCACGCATCCTTGCTTCACTCCGTTGGTCACTGCAAATGCCTCTGAGACAGCTCCGTTGTCCGTGACTCGCGCCATCATACCGTCGTGCAGCTGACGCACCATCTGAGTGAATCGCTCCGGACAGCCGAATTTCTGCATGATCTTCCACAGTCCATCACGATTCACCGTGTCGAAGGCTTTTGTCAGGTCCACGGAGGTAGAGTACAGGTGGGTCCGCATCTCCTGGCACTTCTCCTGAAGTTGGCGGGCGGTGAAGATCATATCCGTGGTCCCACGATGACGACGGAAGCCGCATTGGCTTTCCGGCAGAAGGCAAGAAACATCCTATAAATACTGCGACTTCCTGTACACTAGCCACCCTTTTCTGCAACTGTCTGTGATGATGGATTCAAGAGAGAATCCGAAACATCAGGCGAATAAAGCCATTGTTCCAGCGATCGCTTCTTCTATTGATCAATTAGTTCCTGGAACTCGCATTTTCGCTTGTATCGGCAAGAAGTTCTTCCATTCGATGCGTTCCGCGTAGCATTGGATCTCCTCAGCTTTGCGAGAAGTCCAGGCGTCCAGCAGCTGGCGCAGTCGATGATGAAGTTGGCGGCGTGCACATACGAGGACGTCTAGCGCAGTTGAATTTACGGTGTCCCGCAGTCGACACTAACGGATGTCGACAGCGCAGAGGCGGAAAGGGCAATGCGTAGGTTGTCTAGAAGGTGAGATAGCTCATTGCAGGCAAAGAAACAAGGCAACATTCAGCTTACCTGGGGTTCACTTTAATTGCGCACTAATACGATACTGGACGCATATTTGCGGTTTGTGAATATTAAGCGGTTGCTGATGGATTTCAGTTCAAATATTCATAACAAACTTTGGAGCGTGCCTGAAAATGCCCGTTTGGAAAGATTTACTCCATGCTCGCGCATTCATTGCCTCGGAAATGAAAGAAGGCAACTTGAAACTGGAGTTCGTATGGCAGAAAACAGAGGGGGAATGTTGGGGGAGAGACTGACGCGCGGAAGCCCTGTCAGCTGCGTCAGGCAGCGGCATAAGATGGGCGAAAGACGCGTGTCTGGGCTTTTAGCTAATACCTGTGTTGTTAGTAGGGTAAACCATTGCAGAGTTCTATACTACTGGCTGCCTGTTGGCGGTTTGTGAATATGAAGCGGTAGCTGATGGATTTCAGCGCAAATAATCATACCAAACTTTGGAGCGTGCCTGAAAATGCCCGTTTGGAAAGATTTACTCCATGCTCGCGCATTCATTGCCTCGGAAATGAAAGGAGGCAAGTTGAAACTGGAGTTTATATGGCAGAAAACAGAGGGGGAAAGCTGGGGGACACACTGAAGAGTAGAAACACTGGCAGCTGAGTCAGGCAGCGGCATAAGATGGGCGAAAGACGCGTGTCTGGGCTTTTAGCTAATACCTGTGTTGTTAGTACGGTAAACCATTGCACAGTTCTATAATACTGGCTGCCTGTTTGAAGTTTTTGAATTTCAAGCGGTATTACCGCACTAGCTGATATATTTATGTTCAGATATTCATACCGAGCATTTCAGCGTGCTTAAAAACGCCTGTCAGTCAGATGATATAAGTCAAGTTGAAACTGGAGTTTATATAGCATAAAAGAGACGGGGAATGCTGGGGTACCGACTGTCGAGCCGAAGCCCTGGCAGCTGCGTCAGGCAGCGGCATAAGATGGGCGAAAGACGCGTGTCTGGGCTTTTAGCTAATACCTGTGTTGTTAGTACGGTAAACCATTTGCACAGTTCTATACTACTGGCTGCCTGTTGGCGGTTTGTTAATATGAAGCGGTAGCTGATGGATTTTAGCTGAAATTTTTATAGGAAAGTTTGGAGCGCGCCTGAGGGAGCCCATTCGGATAGATTTACTCCAAGTTTGCGCATTTCTTGTCTGTCGGAAATGAAACAAGGCAAGTTGAAAGTGGAGTTCAAATAGCAGAAAACACACGGGGAATGCTGGGGACGTAGGGACTCTCTTCCAAACAGGCATCTCTACCGAGAACGAAACATCGTCATAAAGTGAGCTCCTGAATCCAATTCTTCGACTGCAAAAGAAAGAATCGAACACGATCTCAACCTCTTTCAAACATATTCAAATGCCCTCCTTCTGGGCGGATAATGTGTTACCGTGCACAAAGCTTTCCGTCTAAGAAACGCAGATGCGTCGCGTGCATTACCAAGGCCTCTTAAAATCATTCTTGCAAATGAACCAAAGGCCTCACATCTCCTAGAAGGGAGGATGGCTCTTCGTCATTCGCATAAGGAAGTATTTTTTCAGCCGGATTACGAACCGACAGTAAGACACAAGATGAGGGAGCGCTGGACAGAACAGAAAAGAAGGACAGAAGAGTGGGAAAAGGGGTTGAAAATAAAGGAAGGTAAGCTAATACAGATCAAGCGATCGTTCCTGTGGCTAACCCCCTTTGTAATCAGGGCCAGTTTCCCCCAAGAAGACGGACACTAAAGGTGCCCTCTTCGAATGTGCAAAGCCTGCTTAACAAGATGGATGAACTCAGGACTCTGATCGACGAGCACACACCAGATATCATCGCTTTGACAGAAACATGGCTTTCAGAAGCTGTTGGAGATCATGAGGTATCCCTCAAAGGCTACCAATTGTTCAGGAGAGACAGGAAAAGCCGAGGAGGAGGGGTCGCTGTTATGTTAGCTACAACCTAACCGCGGTCCCTGAGCATAATCCAACAACAACAGCGGAAGTGGAATTCTTATCTTTAACTATCTCCACTAAATACGCCAGGCCGCTGGCGTTTACAGTTGTGTATCGTCCCCCAAACCAGATTTCCGAACACGATAGCCTTCTCCTAAGGGAACTGAACAAGACCTGCTCGAACAGAGACGTCCTTTTTGTCGGGCACTTTAACACCCCCAATATCGACTGACAAGCTTGGGCGGTTTCGGGTCCATCGAACACATTCGGACAATAGTTGCTTGAATTGACAGCAGAAAACCTGCTTTTTCAGAATTTAACTCTCAGGACACGTGTAAGGGAAGGGCAACGTTCAAACTGCCTCGACCTGGTGCTCACTTGAGATGAGGAGAGTGTGCTGGATATACAAGATCTCCCGCCAATTGGTGCTAGTGATCATATTGTGATGCTCTTCGAGTATTCCCTGTTCTCCCAGCCTAATTCACCTGAACAATTACAAACAAATATCCGGAAAGGGGATTTTCCTAGCATGCGGACGCAAGTCTCAGCAATACCGCGGACAACCACATTGCAGGGAACAGTTAATGACTATTGGAACACGTTCAGCCCACTGGTCAAAAAAATCGTTGATATAAACTGTCCACTTAGACGAAAGAAAACAACCAAACGTCCGTCTTAAACCGCGTTTAGGAGGAGAAATAAAGTGTGGAGACGCTATCGACAAACAGACAGTTCTGAAGATCTGAAGGAATACATGCGACAGCGGAATGCGTGTAAACGCGAGGCTCATAGACTTCAAGGCAACTATGGGCTGTGCTTATTACAAATTCCTTGTAGTATCCTAAAATCCTCTATAGTTGCATACGTAATGGACAGAGCAATCGTGAACCGATTCCAGCGCTAAGATCCCAAAACGGTGTAACTGAGACAGATGACCATCTGAAAGCATCAGCCTTCTCCAATTTCTCTCAGTCGGCATTCACTCATGACACAAACCCTCCTGCCATGCCTTATGTAGACCGTCCTGCATTGGAAGACAATCTTTTCTTCTCACCCACGTTGATAAGGACCGAACTACGCCGGCTGAAACCTGCCAAATCACCTGGTCCAGATGGAATTCATCCACTTGTCCCCCGAGAATTAGCTGATATACTCTGTTAGCCGGTGTCCATGATATTTCGAAAGTCAATGGACGAAAGCGAACTGCCGGAGGAGTGGAAAACGGCCCATATTTCTCCAATCTATAAAGGAGGATGCAGACTGGAGCCCGAAAATTACCGTCCTATTAGTTTAACCTGCATTCTATGCAAGGTAATGGAACGACTTATTAAAGGGCATTTAATGTCGTATCCGGAGCAGAGGGACCTGTTATGTGCTGTTCAGCACGCATTTCGGCGTGGTCACTCCTGTCTTATAAGCAGTCTTTACTCTCACGAAAAGTGGACAAGATTCATAGACCAGGGCCGTCCAGTGGACGTCATCTTCTTTGACTTTAAGAAGGCGTTTGATAGCGTTCCTCATGGACGACTCCTACAGAAGATTTGGGAGTTTAGAATACAGGGCAGCATTTTTAACTGGATTAAAAGTTTCCTGTCATGCAGGCTCCAAAAAGTCAGCGTTGGTGCCACTACATCCGAATGGGTGCCAGTAAAAATCGGGACGAGACAAATGCGAGTAGCCTGGGATTATAAGTCAACATTGTTGACGTACTTGCTTCCTATCAGTAGGCGTGCTTTTATTAGGTTACATACTTACAACTGCTAATTGGGCGAAGGAAGGGCGGTTATGCTGTAAAGTCCTTCATGTTATTGCTCCAGCTATGTTTGCTTATTTGGCGTACAGGGTCTGTCAGGATGACTTTCTCCTTCACTGTAACCGCCCCTAGAACGAGGCGCTGTAAGACTATCTATATGGGCACATTGCATTGCAGCCCCCACACGGAAATCTTCAGTAAAAGACGAAATCCTTGACCTTTGCGGATTGCGATTCAACGCGCTTTACATTATGCTTCTACCTGCAAGCTGCCTCAGTTGTGTTAACAGGCTAATACCTTACCCCCCGCCTTTCCGAAACAGGATGAGGCGGTGTTCTGCGCAGGTGCGGAGAAGCAGCAGACCATCGTCTTTTGAGGCGCGGAGACCGTGGGGACCCATCACTCCTCTCCAGGCAGTATGGTCTGTGCCGACGCGGGCGTTTAAGTCACCAAGAACAATCAACTTGTCCGCCTTCGACACAGTCGCCAAGAGGGCGTGCAGGTCCTCGTAGAATTTGTCTCTGATGGCGTCAGGGCTGGTCATCGGCGGAGCGTAGGCGCTGATGATGGTGGCGAATTTGACCCCAGCCCGGGGGAGAGACAGACGGAGGCTCATCAGGCGATCGTTGATTCCCTGCGGTAGACAGGGCAGTCGTCCCACGATGTCGGTCCGGATGGCAAAGGCGACACCCGCGTTTCGTCGCTCTGCCCTGGGTCGACCACTCCAGAAGAAGGTGTAGCCGGCACCCACCTCCTCCAGTTGGCCTTGCTCGGAGAATCGGGTCTCGCTGAGTGCGGCGATGTCCACCTTGTAGCGCGCCAGTTCTCGTGCCACTAGCGCCGTCCTCCGTTCCGGTCGGTTGCTCCTCGGATTGTCTAAAAGGGAACGAACATTCCAGGCTGCCAGAGTGAGCGGGCTCACCCTGCCAGTCTGGCGACTGCGGCGGCGAAAAGTAGGAGTAGGAGAAGAAGAAGAATAGGCTGGAAGAGGAAGAGAGAGATTGTTGTTGTTGTTGTTGTTGTTGTTTCGGTTTTGGCTGTTTCGACCGTGTGTTTTTTGTCTGCGGCCACGGCCAGCCTACAGACAGCGTGGTTCCCAGCGATCTTTAGGGCACCTTTTCTAGCCCCCTTACCCTCGTGGGGGCAGGCAACGCATCCCTGAACAGGGCTGCCCGGTTATCCCAGACGGCTGCCGGACTCCACTATGGGCCACGACATTGTGTTAGTGAGAGAACGACCCGAATTAGCCTGAGACCTTGGTGGTGATGGTAATGATGTGATAAAGTGAAGTGGGAGAGAGCATACACACTACCCAACGCTATGGGACTTAGAACTAGAGTGGACAAGCGGACACAGTCATCAGTCAGAGACAAAGTGAGGGCACCAAACAAAGTCAAGCAAAGTAACACCCAGCTATTAGCAGAGATGGGCAAAGACTGACAGACAGACAGTCGCAGCAAGCATCAAGAGTTTCCTCATGATAATAACAGATAGACTAGCATGCAGAGGGCAGGCAGCAAGAACAGCATACGACACGGAACTTCAACAGACAAAAGGAAGAAACAGAGCAAATGCACATACCTGAGGAAGAACTTACCTGGTGGCCTCCTGCGATGGTCCAGGTAGAGCCTCGTCTCGACGATGTCGACGCGAAGATCCATCCGGCCAGCGCAGACCACAGTACCGCGCGTGCAGGTGCACGCACGGATACCCTCACCTGGTTTAGCCCGCCGGTCGAGGCGGTTGCCCGGGGTGTGGCCGCTGAGCGGAGCCCAGCTACGTGGAGCCACAGGTGAGAGTTGGGTGCCAGCAAATGGACGTTAGGCGTAGTCTCACCTGCGAGCAAGTGAGCGACCACTGCGACTATCACGTGGAACCACCGCTGACACCCCTACACCCCAAACAACACACACACACACATACACAGTGAATTTTAAACTAAGCACAGTTATTTACAGGTGCTAGCCTGCAAGTCGTTCCACGATTAAGTCGACGAACTGCGTAAGGAGTGGATTGACCTATGTTAAATTTCGTCGTGGCGGAATGTGCATTAATTAAACAAACGATTTTTATTAACATCCTACACTGTTTTAATATAGAAACTGTCTGACATCCGGCGATCGGACACGGATATGTGCATTTGTGTGAGACATTTCGAGAGGGAAATCGATGCTATAAAGTATATAAATGCCAAACAGCACACATGTACACGGATGCGTTCACAGGCCATTCAAGTATTGTGAAATAACGCGAATCGAATGCGCGGTTTTGCTTGCAGGGTGTTTGACACGGCCAAGTGCTCAGATGGTTAAACGAGATACTGCCGGTTATGTCGATGATAGATAGGTGGATATTTCTCATTGATGGTGAAACCTTGGTGCTACTGCCAGACTAAAACTAAGCATAACAAAATCGGCAGTTGGCATAGTTTTTAGTGTGTGCTTTTTAATGCATTAAAAGACTCCTTGCAGGTAGACCGCGCACAGGTATACAAATACCTGCACAATTAATTTAAGCCCCGAGAAGTGAGACTAAACGAATGTGCGATTTCGATGGAATGCTGCATTACACGACCTGGTAATTAGATGTCTATACGAGGTACAGCCAGTGAAGACTACGCGGGAGTATTGTGAATGGTTCAGGGGTAGTTCTATTAGACAAACAATCAACCAGGATCTCTCAACTTTGCCAATCTGAACACTGGCATTAATTGGAAACGGACACTCAGCAAATTTCAACATTATGTCGACCTTAGCCTGCCAGGGAAACCGCACTTCTGACGAAAATTCTAGTTTCCAAATTCATAGAATCGCCAAAGTCAGTTTTTAGAGCCAAGAATGATGTAAGTATTTAAAAAACGGCTAGAAAGTAAACAGTCACAATTTAAACATATCTACTCGGGAAATCTTCAGACGAATAACGAAAAGCTGAAGTGAATGCGGTCGTTATCATCATAAACATGCGCATGATAGCACAGGAATTGCAGCTTGTAAACATTTTCCAATCTGTACGTCCCCAACTTCAGTCGGTTGCTGACCTTGATCGAAAAGTTATCGGGAAACTCAAGTGAACATTATTTTCGCTCCAGCGATCGTTGTGACAGGCGTTCGGAGTAGGGTCACAGCGAGAGCATTCGGGTATGCTTTCGCATATGTGCCAAGATAGAGGTATTGCACTCGTGGATGACTTTAGAAAACGTGGGAACATACTTAGGGCCGGTTATCGTTATGACTGCGTGCGTCCGTGCTAAGTTTATTTGGGCAACGCATATGCATCCGACAAAAAGTACTGCCTTGTTGCATTATCTGTGAAAAAAAGGAGAAAACAACTCAACGATTCGGTAAATACAGAAATTTGCTTGAGGCTCTAGTAGCGAAAAGAAGGTGAAGTAAGTGCACCGCTAAGCAAAGGACACCGGACAAGTGAAGGCAGGAACCAACATCAGATCAAACCACTTGCGTTTACCAAGAGCCAGACGGAAGTTAAAACGAGGATGTTAGGCAGAGCTAGACAGTTGCATCTGGAAACTATTCTCCATATGCTGTTGAGACGCCCTGTGCAAACCTAACGAAAACCAGACTGTTTATTTTGTAGAGTCACATTACTTGTTGCGACAGGCTAATTGATGCGTGGAAACCTGTACATTCCGCACCGACACAATGATCAATTCTAGACCCTTGCCTTCGACAAATCTAGTTTACTGGTCTCTATGTAACTGTCTATGGGGCTCTCGACCGAGTCCCGACCCGATCGATGAGCGCCCTTCCATCCTCGCACACATGATTGATTCTGGACATCCTGTGGACCCCAGCTGAAGCCTTCTAGGGGAGCGGCTACGCTCAGGGCAAGACTGGAACCGTTGTGACGGTGATGAACCGGACTCTGTCGAATAGCAGCCGCCAGAAGTGACTGATCGCATGAACGCAGCATGCGACCCCACTCGGAAGAACAAAAATCAGGTCACCGTGCGACTTTGAGTCCTGGTCATTTTAATAATTGACGCTTCTGCGCTCTCGTAACTAGATAAAATATATTCTACTTCTTTTGTGAAAACAAACAGGAAGAACTGCAAAGAATGCCCAACACGCCGGGGGGGGGGGGGTCTGTCTGGCATTCATTGGCAAGAGGCACTAAGCAAATTTCAACCTTGTGTCGACTTCCGCCTGCCAGGAAAACCGCATTCCTAACAAAAATTCCCGTTTTCAAAGTCATATAATCGCCACAGTCAGTTTTTAGTACAAAGGATGAGGTTAGTATTTAAAAAACAATTAGATCGTGAACGGTCACAATTTAAACATATCTGCTCGGGAAGTCGTCAAAGGAATAACGAAAAGCTGACGTGAATGCGGTTCACTCAGGAAATGTCAACACTGAGTCCGACTTTCAGATATACGTAGACATTGTCCTTGCTAGATATCCACATTTCCATCAAAAATGTCAGTTAACGATGTCAGAAAAGCCAGAGTTGGTTATAAATGAATAAAATGTGGGCGTTATCATTATAAACATGCGCATGATAGCATAGGAATTGCAGCTTATAAACATTTAACTCTCTGTACGTCCCCAACTTCAATCTGTTTCTGTCCTTGATCAAAAAGGTATCGGGTAAATTCAAGTGAACATTATTTTCGCCCCAGAGATCAAGTGCATCTCCTCACATCAAAATGACACTGCTAAGAATGCTTTACTTCCGAACAATAAATGGTTTCAGTCTCCGAAGTTGCTCCTAAGCCTAACTGGTGGGATTCGAACCCACAACAGCAAATAGAGGCCTTAGTGCACCCAACGCTCTAGCTACCTGTGATACGAGGCCCCACCGGACGACGCGAGTTTAATCACATCTAAATCAATTTTATCCGTTCAATCTAATGCAACGTCTGGTATCCACCAAATCTGATAAAGAAGGCTGACTTTCCAAGCAGGATTTTCCAATTTATACATCTTAAATCCACCAGATGGCTACGAGTCTTACGTAATTCGTGGGTGTTTTGGCAGATGCGATAATTGTAGCGTCGTCCGATGGAGCATCTTAGCACAGGTGGCTAGAGCGTTGGCTGTAGTAAGGCCATCTCTTGCTGTAGTGGGTTCATACGCCACCGAGGCGTCGAGAATTTCATATGCCTATCAAAATAACTGATCGGTGTACTTGCGTTTTATACGGAAATATTGGCAATAGTCGGTCAATCTGCAATAGGCTCGCATTGCCAGTCAAAATAAGGCGATATGAATTACTTGGCATAGTTAAACCCTTGCTGTCGTGGGTTCCAGTCCCACCGTGGCACCGATGTTTAACAATTCAATCAAGGTGGATGCGTATGACTTTAGGAAATATATTCTGTAAACTGAAGGGGCTCTCGGTTCTGACGTATAGGCAACTTAAGACTATACAGGGGTTTTACTTTCAGGTGCGGCACAACACTGACATGTCAGGCAAATTCCCCACGAGCTGGTTGCAAACCTGCAGCTCTGTATTTCGTCTAACGAACTTCGCACTCATTGCATTAGGGCTCCTGTCATCATTATTCATAAACCAAGTGCAGACGCGAGCAGATCACGCCATTCTGGGTGCACCGATTTGTATTAAAATCTACTGATCCGATGCGGAGGGAGGGAGGGAGCTGGCTGGGTGGCGTTTCGTATGTGCAGATTGCAGGCACGAACGCGTTGAGTGTTATCAGGGTGGGGCATCGATTTCCGTGAAAGAAGAGGATGACGCACTCTCCACTAGATCTTCTTTTCAGTCTCACAGCGACTGTCGCCCTGAATTACGCTAGCCCTTTGCCTAAGCTCAATGTACCCATGGGTGATCCAGAAGGCGGTGGGGACTTGTTGTCTTTCAGCGGCTGTACGTTACACTAAGTCTGCTGTAGAGTGTGTTGTCGATCAGAGCTGGGCAAACACTGGGCAAAATCGCACCGCTTGAAAACTGCACAAGGTTCGTTAAAATACAGGCTTATGGTTTGATCTTGGGCAGGATAAACGACGGTGGCGTAAGTGACAGGGTGAGAGTGAGAAGGATTAAGTCAGATGATGCGTCGGCCCCGCGATGGCATGAAGGCGCGAGTTCCAGACAATGGGCCTGGCAGGAGATGTCAAGGTATACGACTCCCAGGTAAGCTGAATATTGCCTTGTTGTCTTTGCTTGCTCACCATCTCCTTCTTAGCTACGAGTTAGCTCAACGGGTAGACAACTTACCAATCGCCAGTGCTGCCGCCGCTGCCAACGAGTAGAACGCATCCGTCGAGAGGACACAAACCAGGCGAAAGTCCTGGCCGTGTGCCGTAGTGCACGCCGTCAACACCAGGACTGGTTCGACGACAACGACGCCGTCGTCAGCAATCTGCTCGCCGAGAAGAACCGCCTTCACAAAGCCTACGTAGACCACCCCACTGATGACAACGAATCTGTCTTCTACCGCAGTCCCCGCCACCTTCAACAACGGATGCGCGAGATGCAGGACGCCTGGACTGCACGCAAAGCTGTTGAGATTCAAGGCTACGCGAACCGCAACGAATGGGAGAACTCCTTCTCCGCGATCAAAGCTGTCTACCGTCCGCCGATGAAGGACACTGCTCCTCTCCTCAGCGCCGACGGCAGCACTCTCCTGACTGAAAAGACGCAAATTCTACAGCGATGGGCGGAGCATTTCCGAGGCGTCCTCAACCGCCCCTTCGCCATCTCCGTCACCGCCATCGACCGTTTGACGCAAGTGGAGACCAACTTGGACCTCGACCTCCCGCCATCTCTACAGGAAACCATCATGGCCGTGTAGCAACTCTCCAGCGGGAAAGCACCCGGATCAGACGCAACCCCGCTGAGGTCTACAAGAACATAGGGCCCCAACTAATGAAAGACGCAACCCTCCTGCATCTCTAAAGTCAAAAAGGGAACCGCCAATTTTGCATCAATCACCGTGTCATCTCCTTGCTGAACATCGCAGGGAAGATCTTCGCTCGCTCCCCCCTAACCGCCTCAATAACCATCTGGAACAGGGCCTCCTGCCGGAAAGCCAGTGCGGCTTCCGTCGTCATCGCGTGACCACCGGTATGATCTTCGCCGACCGTCAACTTCAGGAGAAGTGTCAGGAGATGCCGGAAAGCCAGTGCGGCTTCCATCGCCATCGTGGGACCACGAAACGGTGAATCGTGAAGGACTGTGGAAGAGCATGCAGAAATTCGGCTGTCCGGAGCGATTCACTCAGATGGTGCGTCAGCTGCACGACGGTATGATGGCGCGAGTCACGGACAACGGAGCTGTCTCAGAGGCATTCGCAGTGACCAAGGGAGGTGAAGCAGGGATGCGTGCTGGCGCCTACCCTCTTCAGTCTTATGTTCTCTGCCGTGCTGATGGGCGCTTACCGTGATGAACGAGAGCGAGAATTGAGAGCAGACCCGACACACTCACAACATTCGACACATCCGCCATGCCCAGACGCACCCTCGCTTAATCGACCACTGCGCCCATCAACACCACAAACTCTTTCGTAGCCGACACCGGCGCAACCGATTTTAACTACCCACACTATCTACGCACATGCACTTCTCGTATTCGCATGGTGAAAACCAGGACTACACCTGGCCTCACTGCGATCGCACCTTCACCTCACGCATCAGCCTGGTCGGTCACTTGCGAATTCGTCGCACAGATACTGGCGAAGCCGTGCCTGGAGCAGCAACCTATACACACCCGGCTAGACTTAACTGTCCACACTGCTTTCGCACTTTCATTCATCGCATGGGTTTTTCGGTGACATGCTCATCCACGAACACCTGCAAGGACAACCGCCGGCTGCACCACACTACCTCACCATCCCACAATGCACAATGCTTCAGCCCGTCCCCAGCACACCAGTCGCCACTCCACACAACACACACACAACGTGACGAACTGCGTGAACCGAGAGCGGGCGTCGATCAGCAACCTTCCTTTCCACGACACTTGACGTGTCGGGATAGTCTCGGACTCAAGTCACCCGTACAGCTGAAGCGGCATGGCGACCGAGTCGAGATGCACACTTCCCACTTGCGTGGAAGGTGGCAGTTGGTGCATGCGGTGGGTGAGTGTTGATGCGTAGTGGTGATGGTGGAGTAGGGAAGAAGGTGTGTGGATGTGTGATGTAACCGGCGGTTGTCTACCGCAGGTCGTCGTGGATGCGCATGAGGCCGAATAGACCTGAAAGTGCGAGGACAGTGTGGGCAGCTGAGACGAGCTTGGTGGGTGTAAGTTGGTGCTCCGGGCACTGGTTCGCCAGTCACTGTGCGATGGATTCGCAAGTGACCGACCATGCCGATGCGTGAGGTGAAGGTGCGATCGCAGTGAGGGCCGGTGTAGTCCTGGACCTCACCTCCGTTGTCGTTCGCAACAGACGTCGTTGTGTCATTGAAGAAGGAAGAGTAGTAGGAAGGGGAGGAATGAGGTGTGGTAAAGTCGGTGGCGTCGACGTCGGTTGCGGAGAGGTTGGTGGGTGCAATAGGCGATGAATTGGGAGTGGGGCTCGGCGGTGTAGGTGTGTCGAGGATGCGGCCAATTCTGCTCTCGGAATGCGCATGTGGCCGAATAGACCCATGCGATGCGTGAAGGTGTGAGGACCGTTTAGACAGGGGAGGCGAGTGCGGTGGGCGTAGGTTGGTGCTCCAGGCACTGGGACGCCAGACTCTGTGAGGTGGACTCGCAAGTGACCGAAGTGTGAGGTGAAGGTGCAATCGCAGTGAGGACAGGTGCAGACCTGATCCTGTTCGATGGAGTCGGAGGCAGGGGATGTGGTGTCGGTTGTTGTATCAGGGTTGTATATGTGCCTGACGACCGGCTGAGCAGTCGTCCATGGGGCAGTGGAAGAGGAGGAGGATGAGGAGGAGAAGGATGAGGAGGAGGAGGAAGAAGAAGATGGGAACAGAAGAAGAAGGAGGAGAAGTAGGACGAGGATTAGGAGGATGAAAGTGACGGTTCAGAAGAGCTGTCAGAGTTAGGTGGACGCGGAGAGGACGAGGAAGAGGGGGGGGGGTTGAAGGATGCTTGGTGCGGTCCGAGAGGTGCAGTTCATCCGGAGGTGTACAATAAGTAAAATTCGTGCGCGGATTGTCCGTTGACATCGATGACACGTTGGAGGCGGTTGTGCGTCTGCGCAGATTTGATTTGCGTGCTTTACGTTTCATTTCGGCGGCAGCGATGCGGTTGGCTTCAAAGACCGCAGCACCTGTCTTAAATGTCCTCCTCCATTTAGGTCGGTTTTGGGACAGGTCATCCCAGTTGGTCGGGTTAACTTGAACACGCTTCAGGTAGGATTTCAGAGTATCCATTTATCGACAAATTTGGCCTACTTCTGGAGAAAACCCGTCGCGACCTCTCCGTAGAAGAGTCGTTTGGGTAGTCGCTCGTCGTCCATGAGCATCAGGTGGCCGCTCCAACGCAGCTGCATTTGACTCAGCACGGTGTAGATGCTGAGGATTCCCGTCCGTTCCGGCACATCAGTGTCGGGAATGCGATCCTGCCAATTCAGCCTCAGGATGCGACGAAGACAACTGAGGTGCAAGTGGTTCAGACGACGTGCTTGCTTTGTGTACACCGTCCAGGACTCCGCGCTATATAGCAGCGTCAGCAGGATGACAGCCTTGTTGATCTTCAGCTTCGTGTTCAGTTGGAGTCCATGACGATTGCAAACTGTGCGTCAGAGGCGGCCGTAGGCTGGACTAGCTTACGGAATCCTGCGGGTCACTTTGTCATCGATTTAAGTGATACTGTAGAGGGTAAGTCCAGGAATGGGAATTTCCCCACCACTTGCAGTTGGGTTCCGTTCACGTTGATTTGCGTCGGTGCTTTGCGGGGTGTGGCGGAGTAGGGTGGCGGTTGATGCATTACAACCGTCTTCTGCGTGTTGATGACCAGAACGAAGATCTCGCAGGCGGCGGAGAACAGGTCCATGCTCCGTTGCATCTCCTCTTCCGAGGTGGTGTTCAGGGAGCAGTCGTCGGCGAAGAGGAGTTCGTGCACGGTGGTTGTGGATAAACGCAATTGGAAGTGCATCCGCCGATGATTCAGCAGGTGACCGTACCTCCTGTAGGCTATGCGGATCCCGGGGCGTTCGTCGCGGTAGGCGTCCATCAGCATGGCAGAGAACATAAGACTGAAGAGGGTAGGTGCCAGCACGCATCCTTTTCTTCCATTCGTTGCGGTCCGCGTAGCCTCGAATCTCCTCAGCCTTGGGAGCAGTCCAGGCGTCCTGCATTTCGCGCAGTCGTTGCTGAAGGTGGCGGCGACTGCGGCACAAGTAGCTCTGTTATCGTCAGTGGGGTGATCTACGTAGGCATTGTGTAGGCAGTTCTTCTCTGAGATCAGATTGCTGATGACGGCGTCGTTGTCGTCGAACCAGTCCTGGTGTTGGCGACGTGCGCGACCGAGGAAGGCCAGCGCCGTCGACTGAACCGTGGCTCGCAGATTACAGCATCAGTTCTCCACGGAGGCGTTCTCGGCAGCGACGACGTCGTCAGCGATTAGAAGGTTGCCTAGCCGTTGTGCTAGCTCATTTCTGAAATGAAGACGATAAGCTGGGCATGAGAATTCGGCCGTTTTTGATGTCGCCTACAGAGGAGGCGGCGGTGGTGGTGATGAGCGGGCAGGGCGATGGTGCGACGGTGGGGCTAAGCTTGGTGGATGTGTTGGATATGGCGGGTGTGTCGGGATTGCGGTCAATTCCGCTGTCGTGGATGTGCATGTGGCCGAATAGGCCCATGCGATGCCTGAAAGTGCGCGGACAGTGTGGGCAGTTGAGTTGAGCTTGGTGGGTGTAGGTTGGTGCTCCAGGCACTGGTTCGCCAGTCTCTGTGCGATGAATTCGCAAGTGACCGATCAGGCCGATGCGTGAGCTGAATGTGCGTGGACAGTGTGGACATGAGAGGTCGGTGGTGTCGCCTAGAGAGGAGACGGTGGTGTTGATAGACGCGCATGGTGGTGAAGTGGGGGTGGAACTGGGCATGGTGGATGTGTTGGATGAGGTGGGTGAACCGGAATTGCGGTCAATTCCGCTCTCGTGGGTGCGCATGTGGCCGAATAGGCCCATGCGATGCCTGAAAGTGCAAGGACAGTGAAGGCAATTGAGTCAAGTTTGCTGGGTGTTGGTTGGTGCTCCAGGCACTGGTTCGTCAGTCTCTGTGCGATGGTTTCGCAATTGGCCGACCAGGCCGATGCGACAGGAGAAATTGCATAGGTAGTTTGGGCAGGTGAAGTCGGTGTCAGTGGCTGGAGGGGTGGTAGGGACGCAGGGTGATGAAGTGGGCGGTCTCACCCTGCCAGTCTGGTGACAACGAGTGAGGCGACGTGTAGGATATGGAGAGGAAGGTGACGAAAGAGAAGAATAGGCAGAAGAATAGGCAGAAGAAGAGTAAGTAGTGTTAGGATGAGGAGGATCAGTATGGTTGTTATTGTTATTGGTATTGTTGATTTTTCGATTTCGATTGTTTCGACCATGATTAGACGACTGCGTCCCTGGCTAGCCTGGAGACGGCGTGGTACCCAGCATTGTTTAGGCCACCTTTTCAAGGCCCTTCCCCTCGTGGGGGCTGGCAGTGCCATCCCTGAATTGGGCTGCCATCTGCCGTTGTGGCACGGCCGAGATCCACTATGGGACCACGACTTGTGGTTGTAGTGGAGAGCGACTGGGATTCGCCGTTAGCCGCGGACTCCGACGGCGTAGGTGAGCGCGTCAAGGCGATGTCGATATGGAGATCCATCCCGTCACCGGCTGTCTAACGGCGTGCAGAGACGAACCGCGTCACGACGTTGCCGACGCAAGGTTCCATCCGACCTTCCATCCAGCGGAATCCGCAAACCCTGTGCACACGGCACAGCGAACAGGGCCCCCTCACCTGGTTTAGCCCGCCGGTCGAGACGGTTGCCGGGGGTGTGGCCGCTGAGCAGAGCCCAGCTACGTGGAGCCACAGGTGAGAGTTTGGTGCCAGCAAATGGACGCTAGGCGCAGTCTCACCTGCAAGCAAGTGGGCGGCCACCACGACCATTACGTGAACCCACCGCTGACACCCCTACACCCCGGAGGGCACAACACACACTCTCACACACACACACACACGATAGTTTAACCATCAATTTCGATGATATCCACCGTGTGCCCCGTAGCTGCAGCAGCGGTGGGAACAGGGTCTTTGACTTGCGCAGCGGTTTGTACTGCCAGTAGTCTTTGGCTGCATCTACCTACACTCTCTCCTCCTCCCACGCCTGGGCCCGGTGTCAAGACAGAGTCAAGGAAACCGGAGACGAGGGAGGCCGCAAGCTGATTTTTTGGACGAATCTACTCTCACACGCACACGCACTGACACACGACTTTTCAACCGTTTCATCCGACGTCGTTCACAGTACGCCCTTCATCGGCGTGAGATCAGAGATGTTGGCTTGCGTTTGCTTTTGTTGGTAGTGATGGAAGACTTGCGTTGCATCTATCACACTCTTTTCTCCTCTCCAACTTCACCCGACGTCAATACAGATTCAAGAAGGCCGGAGGTGGTGGAGGGCGCCGGCGGATTGCACAGTCGAGCCCGCACCATGGCGTTGCACCCCACAACCCCTTGTCCACATTACAAATAACCAGTTTTTTTTTATCACCAACAGCAGAGAGAGCGGAGGCTGGCATGGCCGAGGCGGCACCTTGGCGTGCCGCCACACCCGCCTCGGATCCCACGCAGTGAGATTGCCATAGTGGCCACATTATGAAGGAGCCGTTGCATCCTGACTCACAGACCACCAGCCAGCCAAGCCGCCAAGCAGAGTCTAGCCTCGGGGAGCCACATGTAAGATTTGGAAGTCAGCAAGTGGTCGTTAGGCGTAGTTTTCACCTGAAATCAAGTTAGCGACCCGGTACGACAGCCACGTGGACCAGTAACTGCCCACCTCTACACTCTGAGATTTTGTTTAATTGTCTGTTCATCTACCTTATGGGACCTAATTTGTGTGAGGCGATGAGATGAGCGATGCAATTCAAGTGAAAGGAACTCCGGCGCGCCCAATTACGGTATACCGATGTCAGTTTTCGCATAATCCTGTTGCAGTGTGAGTAGTAGGATTTCAATTATCTGCAGTTTGACAGTATGCGAATCATAAACAATTAGAAAACGTTACTGAAACATAGGCAGTAATATTAAAACGGTAATTAATTGTTATCACGAAGCGTGCGGACGATATTGGTCGTGTGGCATTATGAAGTGTAATTGTATACCGAACCAGTTTTATCTTAAATTACCTGACGACTGAGGGCATAACAATATCTGCAGGCAGGAGGAATGGGCCTCTGTTTCGCATGCTCCTCCTTATGTCACCATAGAATAACTTCTGTTTCCCTATAAGCCGGTTCGACAGGTCTTTCTCGAAAACATATAGAGTCCTGAGGATTATCTGATTAACTGGTTTTTTTTGTATGCATTTATCGACGCAGGCTTCCTATCCAAGGGAAATTGCCTCCAAACACTGTCCTTTTTACTCACTTTTTTTTAAGGCCTCTTATAGCCACTAGGGTCTCCGTTTTAGTCTCTTCCGTGAAATCGGACAGTGATTTCTGAGAAAAATATGCAATAACCCACTGATCCAATCCGAATCCTCGATAATGTTGACAAAAAGGCTGATTGCCGGATTATGTTGCCTATTCCAGTGTACATATGATCAAAGTCATCGCTCCAAATATTTCTTCTAAGTCTGATATAGCACGGAATACTTCCAGAACAGAACCGCATCACTACCGCACCAGGTAGTGACGCGGTTCTAACCTTTGTCAACAGCGTCAGCTGCGCGGTCATCCGGA